CCGACAGCCTGTGTGTTGTTTGCAAACACTGCCATTGATATACCACACTCAATTATCAAGCCCCTGCACCCAGAATGCACATGTTAAAAGCCATGTAACCAATTAGAAACCTGAGCTTGAACACGTTGTTGTGCACAACAATGGAGGCCACTTTTGGAAAGAGAGTTAGAGGAAGAGGTAAATGCAATATACTGTATTTTGTCTTCAGTACCATACAGTAACTATGTTCATGTCATCTTCACTCTCAGTAAAGTCATTGTGTCTGATACTGTTATGAGTATTGAGAATAAACCTATTTGTGTTTTTCCACATTGCATGTGTTCATTCATAGTCCATATTTACAGTGTGCTACAAATGAAAATGCCTAAAACTTTGACTTTAATGTCTTGTTTATTAATCAGCTAATGTGTTTCAATTCAGTTCATGTAAGCTTTACACACACATTCCTCTTTTGAGCGTCAAGTGATTATGGCCTGCATGTCTTTCTGTTCTAACTCAGCTGTCAGCTTCTTAGCAGTTTAGACAAACATCAAATTCATAATGTACAGACTAGTAGGACACAATAATGCTTAACAACTGTTCCATTACTGTGTGAACTGTATGAGATATCGTTCTCCCGCTTGCTGCTGGGTGCAGGTGAAAGTAGGGCGACAGTTCTGTTCACATTGCTGACATTTGTCACAGGTAAATCTTGCAGGTATGCAACAAACATGACTTGTCACACAGCGACAAGCTGGACACTGCATTTGCCGACACAGTACAAACCGGAAGTCAGCGAAATAAAGTTATGCAAAGATTACTTGTATTCTCTATAAACGCATATCTGCATGTGAATGCAGAAATAAACGTATCCTCGTCAGCATGGGTGCCGGAAGCAGGGAGGCCAAGGGTCGTCAGACTTCTGGGTTCCAGGATTGAACTTTTACAGCATTGCCATTATAGCCTCGTGTCTTTTATTTTGAAATATGTTCTTTAACTTCCGGTCCACCTGACTTTTTTTCTTCATTCCCCAAAACGGAAAATTGAAAGAAGTTGTTATCAAAAACCAAAACCGGACCGTTTTTTTAATTAGGTCTTCTTGTTATCCGTTTTTTGATTCAGAAAAGGGCTTTGATTTCCCGTTTTTTCGTTTTTGATTTAAAACGAAAAAATGCTGGTATTTCGTTTTTTGGTTCAAACGAAAAATCAAACTACAAAACGTACAGCCTTTTTTATATTAGGTTTTCTCGTTATCCATCTTTTGATTCAGACAACACAAACGGGAAAACGGCTTTGGTTTTCCGTTTTTTCGTTTTAAATCAAAAACGAAAAAACGGAAAAAGGCTGGTATTTTCGTTTTTTGGCTTTTGGTTTAAACGAAAAATCAAACTAAAAAAACGTACACGGACCTAATAGGTCTCCAATTATCCAACAAAATATTATTTTTATTTGGTTTTGGAATTAAGGTAGTGACAGTGACAACAGCCACTACTGACATTCAATGTCCGGCGTACTTCCCGGGGGCTTTTCTCACGACAGTCGCATTTAATTTACGTCATGAATCTGAACAGCTGATCGCCAGTCGTCGGCTATGCGCCACACGTTGACAACACACCACACGAGTTTCACCTTGTTGTGAAGTTACTTGGACAGTGTGAACCTCAGACAGCTCTGCGGAAATGCCGAAGTACTGCTCGGTACCGAACTGCAGGAACGAGTCTGGGCCCGGCGGAGACCGGAAGAGCTTCTACAAGTGAGCTGCTTAATGTCCGTAGTGCTTGAGACTGATAGTTATAGTGTCAGTTAGTGAGCGCTTCTAGGAGCGTCAAGTCATCTCTCACTTTAAGGGAAGTGTTCCTATCAGATGAGTCATTCTTTCATCACATCCATTTGACTGTATATATGCCAAATCAAAAATAATCACTGCAGTCATTAAAACTAAATATCAGAATGTTGATGACCTGTTGAGTGTATCGCCTTGTCTTGACCTTTGACACGCTGTCCCGAGTCAATCATATGATTTGAGGCTGTAAACCAGTCTGTGCAGAATGGGATTACTGACAGGTAATTTAATATGTTTTACTTTCCCATTCTGAACATGTGCTTTTTATTTTAATTTTTGTGGATTGGTGGAAGACAGACTTATGTCAGCTTAATCCTGGAGCTGATTCAGAGACAGGAACAACTGCTGGGACAATGAGCAGTGGTGGAGGAAGTATTCAGATCCTTTACTCACGTCAAAGTACTAATACCGGACTGTAAAATACATGAAGTAAACAGTATATTATTCCTGCATTCAAAAATGATACTGAAGTAAAATGATGTAAATATATTCAGGAAATTATACTTTAAATAGTAAAAGTAAATATCAAAATGCCCCGGAGCATGGTTTTAAGAAATCCACTAATACTAATATTTATTTAGTGGAGAAGGAATATGATGATATGCATAAAATACAAATTAATATATAATCAGAATCAGAATACCTTTATTAGTCCCACAGAGGGGAAGTGTACATAGTTAATGCATGAAAGTGAAAGATTAAATTAAAGTATATAAAAAATCACATGAATGCACCACGGACATTATAAAACAACACTTTAATTCTCACAACATTCAAATTGAAACCTGTCCTGTAGAATAGACACGTGTGAACAATATATCGCAACAAGCTTTCCAGAAACTGTTCTTGCTCTGAGAGTATCATTTCAAAAAGTGCATCTAATATTCAGTCAACCTCACAAAATATCATTTTCAATATAAAATGTAACCAAATGCAGCCAAGCATTTACTACGGTTGGTTTTTATTGCCCCAGTGTAGCGGCACAAGCCAAAATGTGCAGAGTCCACAGAGCCAGTGGCCGTTTCTCAATCTCGAGGAAACTGGCTTCCAAGCCAATATTTCAAGGATACTACGTCATCAAGTGCCGCCGAAGGACTGTTCCAATCTCCAGAATACTTGGAATTCCACCGAGGCCGCGTCCTTGGTTTGGGGGTAATTTCGAGGCTGCATATGGGTAGACTTCGCGTCCTTAAAATCCCCACAATGCTTTGCGCATGGACCAATTTCCCCAAATCTGTGGCGGAAAATGTAAGGTGAGGCCTCTCATATGACGCACACTTGCTAGCCTGTTCCACTCTTCGTTTTCCGATTGCCAGGAAGGATTCTTGCCTAGCTTCTGAAGCAAGTGACTCGGAAGACATGTGCTACCAAGAAAGCATCCTCGCGATTGAGAAATGGCCAGTCAGTCACCTTATTTCCATCTCAGAGAGGAAGCTTTTCTTTATTCATATTTATAGATTTCACATCATCTCAATATAAATTCAGTTTAAGGGTGCATTTTCCTGTTTCTTTTTTTTGTTCTATTAAACATTCCACTTGAAGTAGCCTGAGTGGGACCGGTGTCTCACCTGTGTGGTCTCTATTGTCTCCCAGGTTCCCTCTGCAGGACCCGGCCCGGCTGCAGCAGTGGCTGAGCCACATGAGGCGGGGGAACTGGACCCCCTCTCGACACCAGTATATTTGCCATGAGCATTTCACGCCTTCATGCTTCAAGGTGCGATGGGGCATCCGTTACCTCGAGAGCGACGCAGTGCCCACCCTCTTCCAGGAGGTGGAAGTAAAACACACGGCTGAGTCTCAAAATGTAGGGCTGCACAATATTGGCAAGTCATTATATTGCCATTTTTAAGCTAAATACTGAAGGTTATTGCTGACTGCCTGGGCTGTAATTGTATTTTTAACACTTCCTACAATTTTAATGTTTTTTTTCTTACAATGTTAGTTTCATTTATAGGTCAGAGTCATGAGTCATAAAAACAGGAAGAGGAGGATTCTTTTTTGTAAATTGTGACAAGATTGTTGAGTTATCTACTGAAATGTGGTACAATAATTCATACAAAATAGAAAATTATTAAAGGTGACCTATCATGCAAAATGCACTTTTGTACGTCTTTTATACATCAAAATGTGTCCCCGTGTGTCAGGGAACTCAACCCAAAAAAAAACACAACCCTCTCTCTTTTCCTCCATACCCAAATCTCTAAAAACGGGGCTGCAACGGATCTGATACAGACTGATCCAGATTTGAAATATCTCTGACGTCAGGAACAAGGAGCTCCGCTTATATGGGCAACTCTCCACCTATCAGGGGAATGGGGGGTTGCCGTGGCATGGTAACAGCATGGTAACATGACGCTCGTGCCTCGTCCCCCTCCTTTGCAGGGGGGCGTGGTCAGCTGCAGCTCATTTGCCACAGAATCAGCCCTTGCAAAAACAGGGCTGGAATAGAGCAAATAGAGCGAAATGAGGCATGGCTAAAATGCATGATCTGTTTGGTATTTTGAAAAAAAAATACACAGACATGTTTTAAATAGGCATGGCCCTACCATATATTATTCAAATATAGCATGATAGGTCCACTTTAAATATAATAAGCCTCATGTTGTTTCTCTTCTTCGTAGAAACGGGAAGCCACAGATCACAGTGAGAGGAAGCCGAAACAGCTTCGAGCTAACAGTCATCAAAGCACGGCAGTGGAGACGGACTGCACGTTACAAACGCTACACCTGTACGAGATCACTGCGGACCCGCACCAGAGGGGGGAAACCAACCTGGTGGAGCTAAGTGATGTTGGAGAACCTGGGCGCTCAGACTTAACCGGGGACGGATTCCAAACGGCAGCTAATTTCCCGTTAACTTTATTCCAGACGGTAAATGACGTGAGTAACAGCGGAGAAGTGGTGGTGATGTCTGAGGGCCCTGCTGCTGAAGGGCAGGAGGAGCTCCTGAGTGGAATCACCGCTGCACTTTTAACTCAGGGCCACGGGCTGGTCATGAACGTCTCCACACTGGGCTGTTCAGGTGAGGGTGTAGCCCCCCTCGGGGTTGAAGGTGTGACTTGTGCCACAGAGGAAATCACCGGAGGACATGAAACTCAAGTCATCGCTTACTTTGAGGCGATACCAAGCGCTCTCCCTGCAGAGAACCCCGCCTTGCCCTCCTTATCCCCGGACACTGTGCTGTCCTCCGCTCTGAGCTCCAAGCCCATCTCTTCCACTCTGCCCATAGTGTCCAAACACCAGCCCCCCTCCCCCATGTCCCTGGTCCTCACCATGGAGAGACAGGACACAGATGAGGGAGACGACGACATGTCAGAAGAGGACGTCACAGAGCAGCAGCTAGAGGAGCACTGGTGAGACTCTTATGTCGGTATTTAGATTTGGAATGGGTTCAGCAATTTTAGATGGCAACTTAACTAAAAATACAGCAAACATTTAATAACTAAATATCGACATGCCATTATTTAAAATAGGACTAAAGAGCACTTCCGTTTCCATTCTTTTATTTCCTATATTCTCTCTCTGTATTACAGCCATTGGTGGGCAGTATTTAAGTACATTTACTGTTCATATAATTTATATGACAGTCATATTTACTTCTAAACTTTGTTTAATGGGTTTTTCAGTAGCAAAAACAAATATTCAATGTAAAAGACAGTATAAAAAGCAATGATTGAAATATTGCTAAACAAAAAAATTGCTAAAACCACATTAACAAGGAAAACCAAAAAAAATAAACATTTAATAAATGTATAATTAAGATTTACTATACATAATTGAATCAACAAATTATCAGTAATATTTTTGTATACATTATAGACTTTAGTGTAATTCCCAAGCGACATTGTAGTATATTAAAATGTGACGATGTACCAACCAGCAAAATCAAATTGATGATCACATCAATGCCTCAATCATTCTAACACAATAATATAAAGTACATTTTTCTCCTACACAATGTTCAGCAGAATGAGTATTTTTACTTTTGACACTTCTGATACCTTTTGTACTCTTACTTTAACTTTTAAAATAGTATTACTACACTGTAATAATTTGCAGTACCACATATGTACAAGATCTGAGTATCCCTGATGACAGTTTTTCCGATCCCTCCGTCTTGTTTACCTGCCAGCTACCATAAGAACAGTCTGAGTAAGGAGCAGTTGGAGGCCATCGTGTCCGAGCTGCAGAAGAAGGTGAAGGTGCTGCAGCAGAGACACCGCCGACACCTGGAGAAACTCCTGGGCCTGGAGAACACAGTCAGCCAGCTGAGGCAGAACAACCTGCTGAACGAGGAGAGGCTCCAGCTGCTGGAGAAGGTGAACTATTACACAAAATAAGTCCAGATTTTATTCAAGTGGCTATCCATCCATCCATCCATCCATCTTCTCCCGCTTATCCGTGGTCGGGTCGCGGAGGTAGCAGTTCCAGCAGAGAGTCCCAAACTTTATTTTCCCTGGCCACATCAACCAGCTCTGACTGGGGGATCCCAAGGCGCTCCCAGGCCAGCGAAGAGATATAATCCCTCCACCTGGTCCTAGGTCTACCCCTTGGTCTCTTCCCAGCTGGACGTGCCTGGAACACCTCCCTAGGGAGGCGCCCAGGTGGCATCCTAACTAGGTGCCCGAACCACCTCAACTGGCTACTTTCGACGCGAAGGAGGAGCGGTTCAACTCCGAGTCCCTCCCGGATGACCGAACTTCTCACCTTATCCCTAAGGGAGACACCAGCCACCCTGCGGAGAAAACCCATCTCGGCCGCTTGTACCCGCGATCTCGTTCTTTCGGTCATGACCCATCCTTCATGACCATAGGTGAGGGTAGGAACGAAAATGGCGCGGTAGACAGAGAGCTTTGCCTTCTGGCTCAGCTCGCTTTTCATCACAACGGTGCGGTAAAGCGACTGCAGTACCGCTCCCGCTGCTCCGATTCTCCGACTAGGGGTGCACCGAATGGGAAATTCTTGGCCGAAACCGATACCGAAAATAGGAAACAGTTGGCCGAAAACCGAATGCC